TTAACACATTTTTAATACATTACTGTATATATAGGTATAGATAATAGATAAGCAAGAATAGTAACTATTTATGTATCTATGTATTATTTATTCACGAAATAGAGTCCAGTTCTTATAGTTAAATGACAAACGTATGTATCGGTGGATACGTGTTCGATATCACACGCCTAAAAAAGAACAAAACGCTAAACGATGATGTCTCTTTCTATCTTATTATAGTGAAAACATATTTTCGATTGACGAATTGTCAATTGATTAGACAAGTCCAGGCAGGCAGCTCCGCGTGATTGATTGATCCCCGTGCTTCATACATTTTCATAATTCATCTCGTGCAATTACGCCGGCGAGGGTTTATAAAGGTTTACGAAAATTAATGAAAGTCCTTGACATTCATGCCCATATTCGTAATTATGTAAATTTACATATTAAACTCATCTTGTTTTATCTTTTATCACTCTAAATACTGGAATCCATTAAATATTTCTGAATGAGTAATAAAAAGGCACTGCAATATGTAGCTTTACATAAATTCAAACTTATTATCCAACTAATCCGCTTTGGTTCAACTTTGAAAAGTTTTACGGTTTCGTATTCTGTAGTTGCTCGTGATTATCCTTTCTATTATAAAAGATGAAGTGGTTTTCCTTTTTATTTATTACCTCTTAGCACCTTAACAATTTAACTAGTCATTATGAAATTTGGTGTACTATATGTGATGGAGAAGTATTTAGGTTACTTTTTATCCCAGTTAGTAAACATATCCCGGTCACACAGAAGAAGTCACGGGTTGAAACATTTTTTTTATACAACTTAGAATGGCAAACAAGCTGACGATCCACTTGATGGAAAGTGGTAACCGTCGTCCATAGAAATGAGCAGTACCATGGACATAACAGGGTATACTGTTTCGCCCATGATACCCCCCATGCGTTACCATTCCTGAGGACTCTGATGTTAATCCTCTGTACCCTGTAAATTCACACCATATCCTACCCTTCAAACCGAAACACAGCCATGCAAACACAACTGCTTCACGGTAGAAACACAAATGGGACAGAGGTACCCAAGCAGTCGACTTTTGTACAAAGTCTCCCTCTGGTAAAATTAAACTGACTATCAATATTATTATATTGCATGCAACGACTTATTAGCTTATAATCGGTTAAATTATATATAATCGATAGGACTCGTATTAATAAACGAATTGATTGTTTAAAATATTTATGAACATTATCGCTTAATTTATAAATCATTTGCTTTTAATCTCTATTTCGTCCACGTGATTGGGATATGTTGATTGACCGGGATAAATAGAAGCTTATAACGTTCTTCATTCCAAATATTATATATCAAATTTCATGAATATAGTTAAGTCATTAAGGCGCCATGAGAGGTGACAAATGAACAAACTCAGTTCATATTTATGACAATATTAATAAGGATTTTATTAGGCAACACAGATGTTACAATATTATACTTGTACTATATTACTTACTCCCTTTCAATAGATATTAATAAAATTGTAACCGAGTTTTGCTGTAATTATTACATTGTTTATGTCTCTAAATGAAGTCGAAAGATTTAATCGATTAATCGATTTGTGATTTATATTACTAATGGACGTAATCAAAGCAACTTTTCGTTTGTTTACATTTGCGTTATGTTTCATTAAGACAGACCATAATAAAACCTTCTTATGTATACAAACTAAAACGTCCTACGAACCTATTTTATTTATTAGAGTGTGTTGTCTCTGTTTGTCAAATTGAGCAATTAGCGAAAAATAATAGGTCAAAACAATATCTAAAATAGGTTTATAATAGTCTTAACGTCCTTATAAATAAGCGAGCTAGTGTTGAACAAGTACTTCCACTGTAGTACGTCAAGTAACTACACTGCACGTGATGTCAGGTAATTTGCGGAGGTTCGAACACAATACCTCCCAGCGTAGGTGTATTGATTTTACAAGGGTTTGCCGCTGACACGCTGAAAGGAACTTTATACGCGGACTATTGAATAATAGATGTGATACACTGTTTATTTTATAAATAGAGTGTTATACAATTAAATCCTATTAATATTATAAATGCGAAAGTTTGTATGGATTTTTTTATACAATTTAGAATGGCAAACAAGTTGATGGTTCACCTGATGGAAAGTAGTAACCGCCTATAGACATAAGCAATACCACGGACATGACAGAGTATACTGTTTCGCCCATGATACACTTAAAGCGTTGCCATTCCTGAGGACAGGTGTTATTCCTCTGTACCCTGTAAATTTACGCCATATCCCACCTTTCATACCGAAACACAGCCATGCAAACATAACTGCTTCACGGTTGAAAAACGAATGGGACAGAGGTACAGAAGCAAACGATTTTTGTACAAAGTCTCCCTCTGGATGGATATTTGTTCTCCTTTCACACAAAAGCTATTGGTTTTGAATGAAATTTAGTACACGAATAGGTGATTTATTGACCACAGATAATATAATAGTTCTAACTTAACATAAGCACACAATATCCTATATACCTATTTTAACGGACGGAATTGCGGAAAACAGCTAGTGTTTATCTTATATTCGCGTATAGGATCAGCTAAATTATTGGATGCCCACCCGTAGAGATCGTCTTATTCCGGAGCTAGCAAATATCCATAACAGATATTAGTCCTCAGAAATAGCAACGCATGAAGGGCATGACAGTATATTCTGTAAAGTTCATGATACTGTTCATGTCCAGGCTGTAGATGACGGTTACCAGTTTCTATCGAGTGGGCTGTCTATTTAATTGCCATTCTAAGTTGTTTAAAAAAATATTGACATATAATATTATATGTATGTTAGTCAGATTAACACCTAACAATAATACTCGTACCTATGCACTATTTCAATACATTAACAGCTATTAACTAAAGACTAGTTTAAAAAAAAATATAATATGTTTGCGGCCAACATCGCAATGAATCCTGTCTGTTACAAAAAGTATTCTCGTAGTTTATCAAAATCGGTATTTACCCTTAAAACTTAAATACGATTCTCAATTAGATTTATTTTTTAAAAAAATTTGCTATTTAATTAAATTATTATTTTTTATTTGAAAAGTTTCATATTTATTTCTGTCTCATATCTATCTAGATATCAAGATTAAAGCCTGTTTCTTGTCATATAAAATTATAAATTGTTTTACCAAGGATATTTCAGTAACAGTCGCTTGTTATTAAATATTATTGCCCCATAATCGGAAATTCGAGGTCAAATGTATCCGATTTGTCGATAACTATCTTTACAATGTTATCGGCCTTATAACATTATGCAAATTGTCAAAGCTCGAAAACTTAACAAACATATTGCAAGCACAAAGTTTTTGGGCATCATAATTGATAAATAACGATTTTTGCAAAGTTAAAACTGTTAATCAATTAATCTTAAATTCAAATAAAAGCAAAGAATAAAATTTGTATGAGAATACGTCGAAATTTTAGTCACATTGAACTACCCACAAAACATTTTGTGTAAGAATTCAATATTTTAAAAGTATGTCTTAAAACTGACAGTGCCTACTAATCTACCTATTTATCTGGAACTACGATTTTAAACATGTATTTATAAATTATTTAAAAAAGAAAATCTTTGCTAGAGCACTATAAGTCAACTGAAATGGAGGCAAAGGGATTATTCGATATTTATATTCAACACAGGTAAATTTAAAAAATACAGATAGATAAAAATTTTTAGAAATACACTTGGAAAGTTTGTTTATCAAATTTAATATTAATTTGTTATTTTAAGAAATACCCAACCATTTTTTATAGTTAGTTTTCAAAGATACAATATCAAACACCTGTTTGCATCTATTTACGCGTTATGTTAGTAGATATCAAGTGATTTCGGAACAAGCAAGTAGTGCCATTTAGATAAATATTTAGTGCGTATTAGGTTAACCTTTGGGAAACGACTGTTACAACGAGGTGAGGTAATGAGGTTAATCCCCAGATAACCGGATTGGTCGTAACATTTGACGCTACATTGGCATAGTTAATTTTCGGACCTAATTTTTTGTCACTAGACGATATTATTTCAACATTTATATCGTTTTAATTAGTTGTCGGATTAAACTAATATTTGTCTTGATATTTTTGCTTATATCTTGATGTTTACAAAAGCTTATTATGTATGGTAATATAAGATTAGAAATATAATATAATATTTGAATAATTCTTATTTGTATGTGAAAATGTGAAAATAAATTTGTATGTACATAACCTCACAACGCCTTAACGACTCAACCATTAGTCATGAATATAATTTGAATTAGAATTTAATGAAATATTGTTGAATAATATAGGCTTTCAGCCTTCTATTTTTTTATCATGCTTGGAATGGTAAAATAACTGACGACTCGACGATGGAATGGAATAACCATCGTCAATAGACATGAACAGCTCTATGGGCTTGATATTATATTTCATACATTGCCATTCCTAAGAATTAGGGTGATAAGCCTTCGTACCCTGTAATTTCACCACCATATACCATGAACCAACACCTCATGGTCCTCTTATACGTTGATGAATCATTCATGACGACAATATTATCATTCCTTTGTATACTGTAATTTCACTGCTATAATCCATCCTTTAAATCGGAATAGTCATACAATCACAGCTTCCTTACTGCAGAAACACCATTGGGACAGAGTTTCTCATTATTACAACCTTCTTAGCCTTTAGCCGTGTAGTTTTGACGTAGAATAGGCTATTCCTTCTTTTCCCGTGGGTATCGTAAGAGATTACTAAGAGACCTTATGAGGGAGGGATAGGTAGCAGCGTGTCTCTTAAAACATCATTAAAAGCCAAACAGCGATTGCCAACCCGTGGTAACTAAACGTGGCAACTACTGGCAAAACCTCCCTCATGGAAGAGGCTATGTTCAGCAGTGGCTTAACGGCTGATACAACAAATAGTCTTCTTATTTTTGGAGCCGTTTATAAGTGTTACCTCAATTTGAAGTGCAGATCCCCAAGTTTGCCGTCATTGTTCTCGGGTTCAATTGGCTTGGTTTTCTCTGTAGCGTTGGCATCAGCTAGCTCCTTGCTGAGGGGTGTGGGCTCCGTAGGTGCGGTGGGTGTGTGTGGACTGTTGTTACCGGAACTCTATATTCAGCAGAATAAAAAATGATCAAATTACTACATTTAGTTATTTATCTACATATTATATGTATATATATATATATATATATATATATATATATATATATAATATAATAATAAAAATAGATAATTCTTGCTTATATTACCGGATTTTGCGGCGGGGGTTGTGGTTGCGGCGGTGAAGTGGCGGCAGGAGGTACAGGCGCGGTCGGTGACGGTGATTTACGCAAATAATGCGTGGCGGAGCCGGGCGACCGGACCGCGGTGGCTCGTCGCGGCGGTTGAAACACCAGCGCCTTGTCCGGACCGCGCTTGCCTCCTGGATCGAATTGTAATTACTATAAACATCTGTAGAGACTCGTGTAAATATAAACCTATATTTATTATCGATCCCACTAGATAAGGTGCAAACGAATCTATTGTTCATTGTTGCTAGCCAGTGCATGAGACAGAATGAGATGGCGATATGCACTGTCTTGTTCTATTTAATGAAAGTGCTAACACAAACTATTCGATCGATAGATTCGTTTGCACCGTATGTATGGCACATCCATGAATACGCAACTGGAAATGGCAATGAATTTGATGGTCAAGTGACAGATAGTGGTGACCAAAATCTATAAGCGATTATATGATAAGCAATGATATGAATAGCATTATGGAATACAATTTCAAGGACTAGAGGTACTTGTCGTTTATATTTAAAAAAAGAAAGTAAATCTGGATGCCGAACATAATTTACTGTACCATTTAAAACTATAAAACACCACTATGGAACTACCATACTACATTCGGAAACTAATTTACTGTATTTTTTTATCAAATGATAAACATAAAAATTTGCTGTTTTTTTTTTATCTCTACAAATTTAAAACTTCTATCAGACATTCAAAGATTGACTGGAAGAGATCCTTTTATGGGATAAATCCGCCATTGCACTCGATCTTTTCTTAAGAACTCTGTATTCTTACTGTACAATAAAATGTGACAAACAAACAAACTCACCAAGTTTGTGGGCGAGCGAATTTCTGCGACGAGCAATCCAGCAAGCAAGCGCGGCCAGCGCTGTCAACACAAGTGCTGCAGCTCCGCACACCACCACCCAAAACGTGGCTCCATGCCATTCGCCAGCTGTCAAAATAAAAAAAATATATATTATAATAAGAACATATTTTATAAAAACAAATAAATTTGGACGATATTAAGTGTTTAACGACAGTTATAATGCAATAACGTAGCAGTCTGCTTCAAATAGGTTTGCGTATGTTTTAGTTAAAAAATATAATTCTGAAAAAAATACTAAACCTACGTACGTATATCGTATATCTACATATTTTATTTTCCCCTGTTGTCACCCGGAGTATAGAAAATATTTTATTCTTCAGTGATGCGAACATTGGAGTCCCCAGTAAATAAATCCATGTACCAAATTGCTACAATAAGGTCAGGCAGTGACATTGTTACGTACACACAATAGTAAGAACACAAGTTCTGTTCTAGATATACTCATATATTGTTTCGTATAATATCGGCCATGAAATCTTTTATATTAAGACACTAGTATAAATGTTTTAATATAAAAGATTTCATGGTCGACCTTTGTAGGGCAAGACACGTGGCTTTGTGAAAATGAGATCCTGTGTTCTTTTCTTTTGTCATTTGTTCTTTGAAAATGAACTTGTCCGAAATGGCTCGTGTCTGGGTGTTCTGGGTTGTGTCTTCAGATGTTAGTGGTCTAATTCTTTATAATACAGTTGGTGCTAATGTATGACATTGGGTGGAAGGGATTGTTAGTAATGCGGACTACCAGTCCCATTGCTAGCAATATACCCTGTCAGGCTGGCCTCCATGTGGTCTCCGCTGAAAACCAGCGTGCTGAATCCCAGGTGTATTCAGCACGATGAGCTAATTGACCTGCCTTTTCATTCCTTACTAGTGCCCCGCCAGCGTATATCATCATGCATTAAAAAAAATCTGTGGTATTTATTAATATTATTTATGGTCAACGAAGTCAATCGACTAAGTAAGCAAGTAAATAGATAAGAGCGGAGGGATTTGTAACTTAAAATTTTAGCGATCTTTGCAATGTAGCGGTTTATTATATAGGTACCATCGTAACACATACATTTGAAAAATATATCAGCGAACACTTAAATATAAGTACATAAGTACATTTTGCTCCGAAATAAAAATAACTTCAACTCTGACAATGATTTATGGGACCAACACGTGGAAGTAAGCATTATCGACTGCAGAGAAAATTTATCGATATTTCCTTGGATTTTATTTCTCTACTTAAGTATTATAATGAAAGTACTTAATTTTTTTTATAATCATAAAAAAGTTCAGACAAATTAAGAATCTTTTTCTTTTTAAAGTCGAACAATAAAATCAGTAACAACAACAATAAATAATAATTGAATTAGACAAAACAACGTTTAGTACTTACTAAACACTTATTTGGGTAAACAGTAATCAAGACGGAGAGGGTTGAAGTTGTTTGTAAATTATAGAATCCCCGTCGACCATTACAGAGTCCTCCTTCAGGAATAAATCAATGGCAGTCTATATTAATAGAACATCCATTTGAAATGATGTCCACCCACACTGCCAAGCTAAGCACGTGATTATGATGAATGACGTACTCTGGACTCACTTTTATTATAAAGAAGAAAAATCAGGAATATTAGTTTCTGAAGTGATAGAAGTATTTTGTCCAAAATTACAACCAAAATGTTAGTGGTAGCGGTGCAACATATCTTGCAATAGTGGTGTATTAAAAAAAAACACTAAATATAAAGACAAAAAAAGAGATTTTTATGGAAAAAATTCCAAAAAAATAATGAAGTCCGCGTCGTAACGGACTAAGAATGCGATGTTTCACTACTGCTTTCTATCCCCGGGGATATTGTAAGACGCAATAAGGAAAATTATACAATAACAAAAGTTTTACTTTTACAAGAAAAGTAAAACTCGAAATGAACCCAATCCGCTAGCATAGGACGAGAATAATGGCTAATACCTTTCCCTTAAAGTTTGGATACCAATTTCTTACGGTATATACCCTGAAAGACATTAAGGATCTAAGGAAAAAATAAAATATATAAAGAAAATATAGACGTATATAAATCTCTGCAGCTTTTTGCAAAGTCGAGGCGATAAACAAACGTTTGTATCACGGGACAGAGTTGGTGAGGCGACCAATAAATCTCGCGGGTACATTTAAGTGCGCCCTTGCCCTTAGAAACCACTCGCAGACTCGCTACACGAACACTTCAATGACAGCACTCATAATTCTAAAACTGTGTGCTAAAAATGGCTTATACAACTTCAAGAGCTGCTGCTCTTGCTAGCTCTTGCAAGCTAGATCTTTTGACGGGTTCGAAGTTCCATCAGCATATGGAACTTTGAACACATCAAAAGACCTATACGTGATGCAAATTACTCATACCTTAGATAATTTAATATCCCATATATATTTAATAGTTCACAGTATGATGGAAACATACATTACCGCTCCAGGAACAGAGGCGGAGTTTTCAACTAAGCACAAAGACTTTTCTGAGAATACATAATGTGCGCCTTTTTAAGGGGCCAGCAAAGGAAAATAATTATAATTACGCTATTACCTACTCCTAAAACACATCAAAGAAATAAAATATTTTTTGTTAAAGAAGCTGTATAAGAGAAAAGCTCCCAATCAACGGATTTTTTTTATTAAATTACCAAAATTAAAATAGTTGACTGATGAAACTTGATAACTGCTGGATGCAAATATAAATAGGTATATGTACTTTAATATGATAGGTTCAAACTTCAAAGAGAAGAATATTGAGGATAGATATCGATTCCAAACAATACGGTAAATTCAATTTTCAATGTAATTAGGTATTTCTTTTATGTTATTTAGAAAACAAGTAGACGGTCTACCTAATGGAAAATGGTGACCTTCCTCTTAAGACACGAACGACACTATAAACATATAGGATGCAATACGATACCATTCCTGAGGACTATTTCACTGCCATTCCATTACCTTTAAACCGAAACACAGCCTTGTAATCGCCACTGCTTTATAGCAGAAACATAAGTGGGATAAAAACAGTAATAAAGTATCATATGTTCTGAATTATAACCTACCTTTGTATCTAATTTAATTCAAATGCGTTTAGTAACATTTATAATAATGGATGGATTAATAAAACTGTAAAACATATTGAGCGTATTTGAATGAAATTTAGTACATGGGTAAGATACCTAACCTAACTTATACGAGTATGATACTTTATATACTAATTCACGCGAGCGAAGCCACGAGGTGCAACTAGTATTATAACGTGAGAGTGAGTTTGTGTGTTTGTTACCTTTTGGCACCTTATACTCGTAGGCTTAAATAATTGAAAAATAATTTGGTTTACAAATTATATTTCGGAAAGAGTTTATAAGGCAAAAAACATAAACAAACAACCAAATTGAGAACTTACTTCTTTGGTTGAAAACTGGTAAATAAAGCCACAAGAGCAACAACGTCCCACTTAAAATATCACCAAAGACTAACTGCAGTTGCTAACCTGCCTGCTAAGCGTGGCAACTATTGGCAAAACTCCCCTTAAGGGATAGGTCTGTATTAAAAAATGAACTGCTAAAAAAGTCACGAGTAAACAATAACAAATCGTTACAGTCCATTATAGTCACATGGAAATCACATATCTTGATATATTATATTATATTCAAGGTAACGTTCGAAGCGGGAGTTATGTCATAGAAAGCGGATACGTATTCATTCGGGGGCTGTTAAAATTAATATAAACGAGAAGCATTTTGCGTCATTCCTTTATCACATTGTAGTTTGTGGTATACGCATACGGAGGGATGGGCTTCCCGCCTACACAACGGAGTTGGTTAATGCGAGTTCACTATGACAATATATATTAAGTTTCTTTATCAATTTAATATCTTAAAAATATTATTCAAGTCATCTATTAATATAAATGACATTGTTATATCAGTCATTAACTAACTATCCACTACTAAATATAGCCTCCCCCATAAGGGGGGTTTTGCTAGAAGTTGCCACGCTTGGCAGGCGGTTTTTTTTTAATGAATGACAATGGAGTGGTAACCCCGCCTGCGCTGACGGTATACGCTGACGGGGCACCAGTGAGGGATGATAGATGAGAATGAAAAAGCAGGTCAGTTAGCCCATCGTGATGATTACATTTGGAATTCAGCACGATGGTTTCCAGGGGGGACCACGGGGAGGTCGACCTGTTAGGGTATATTGTTAGCAATGGGACTGACAATCCGCATTACTAACAATCCCTTCCTCCCTTGGCAGGCGGTTTGGCAATCGCAGTTTGGCTTTTGATATTTTAAAAGGAACACTGTTGTCCATTTTCCACCATAAACATAAATGACATTAGATTGGAGGAATAATGAATTGGATTTGCTGGAAATCTTGCAGAATCGCCTAATATATCTTTATTTATATTAATTTACTAGCTGTCGCCCACGGCTTTGCACGCGTGGTGACGTTTACCTTTTAAGTTGAAATTTTTAAAAAATCCTTTCTTAGTGGATGATTACTTTATAAAATAAACCCATGTTCCAAGTCTCAGCTTTTTGGATTTAGTAGTTTTAGCTGTGCGTTGATAAGTCAGTCAGGATAAATAATATTATTAGTATAGATATACGTTTTCCATCAGGTGGGCCTTAAGCTTTATGGCATTTTAAATTGCATAAACAAAAAAGACAATAATATAATTTTTGTATACAATCAAGTAAAAACGAATTTTAAATATTATTTTTAGGTAAAAGCATCACTTGAGAATGATCGACGCTATCGATTGGAAAATGAATTATCAAAATCGGCACAAAATTGGCGAAGATATTGCGTAAGCATACGAATACAGGCGAACTGAGAATGCCTATATATATGTATATATTAAAATCGCTTAAAATTATATTATTGACTGACGGTAAAGTAAGCCAAATATAGTCTTTACTGAACTATAGATGTGAGAGTGAGTTTGTTTATTACCTTTTGGCGTATAACTATTAATCAATCGTCATGACATTTGGCATATATATACAAGAATGGCAAGGGGGGTATCATGGGCGAAACAGTATAC